GGGGGGGGAAACTATTCTCAATAATTCCCTAAATATATTAATATATCTGAAACGAAATAGTTTCAATTTTCAATATTATTATACATTTAACATTTTGTTGATCAATTTGATGGTGTACCTGGTTGAAATTCGGTTGTGTAATGGTGTACCTGGTTGAATGTCGAAAGTAGATGTGTCATTACATCAAATATGAACGCCTAGGTCTTTCAGGCTGCCTGGTACAGTAGATTAACCTTAACTCTTCAATCTTGACTTTTACTAGGTTCGCCAAAGTACACTTACCCTCTTCCTTTCTCTATTTTTGACTCCAATATAACACCTTCAGCCAGGCCCGTAAAGTCAGCTCGCAAGTCAGCAATCTCCGCGTGTGTTGTTATTGCTTCTGTGAGATGCTCAAGGTTCAAACCCTGCAGATCAGAATAACACAGGAATTCAACAACGTATTGCTGTCTTGATAGCACGGCAACAAAACCCCGTAAAGACGAGCAACAACTATATTCATTGAAAAGTTTTACTTGCTCGTGTGTACAGTGAGTAAATAAAAAACCCGACAATTTTTCCTTGACAAGGAACGTTGTTCAAAAGCTAGTCATGCACGGGTCGAAATTTATCCTATTCCATTATTCCATATTTTGTATAATGCCTGACGGAATAGCAAAGTTCATGATGTCAGTATACCGTTTGTATAGTAGAAAAACTGAATTGTGGTTTTCAATTTATACTGTCACTGGTATGAGGATATTTTTATTGTTACAATTGTTGATTTTCTAGTTGTGATTTTGCATGTGCATTTGAGAGATTCTTTTCGTATAAATAAAGTGTTTGCTATGTTTGTTTGCTGATCCTCAGACGTCTTGCGGTTTACGTTGTGGCTTAATTACGTCACAAATCGTCAGAGACACTAGCTGTGAACAGGCTCGCAGAGACCTACAGTAAAAGAATATTTGATCTTCAAACGGAATAGTAAATTTCAAAATCTGCTATTCCGGTTGTATATTAATAGAAGCAAATTAATGTAAATTTGGACCCCTAGTCATGCCAAGGCAAAATTGATACAAACAACCCTAGACTTCGTAGCTTTACTTCTTTGCGTTTTATACTGTGGGATTTGCACCACGTTCGTTGTGTTATTTACGGAACATTTACTTTGTGGCTGACGTAATGACGAACTGACTCGACCCCTATTTTGCCCACAGTACCATAATGCACCGTGGGAAAAAAAAAACACTTACAGTCAAAGCAGATATCTCAACAGCTTGAACATCTCCTCCAAATTCTTCCAACTGAAGACCATGACTGAGCAGTTGATCTTTTACTTTACGCTTAGAGAATAGAAAACGTTGTCCATGATTATCCAGACATCTCCAGTCTTAAATCTTCATAACAAAATATATTCAATACTTACCAGGTTTACTTTTGGCCTGTCAATTTTGTTAATTGCAACAATCACAGGAACTGCAGAGGATATTTAAACAGGAATGAAAGAAAAAAAATAGAAACTAATGCATTGTTATAGATCGGGCCTCGAAAAAATTGGCGTTCAATACTAGACTTACCGTTGGCATTGTTAGCATGATTCAGACACTCAATGGTCTGAGGCATCACACCATCATCTGCAGCTACAACCAATATTATCACATCTGTCACATGCGCACCACGTGCACGCATTGTCTCAAATGCAGCATGTCCAGGTGTATCAATGAATGTGATGCTGGTTCCATTTGGTACTTTCACTAAAAGGGCATGTGAAATACAAAAGAAAATTAAACCAATAAGCTCCAATGTGCCCAATGCAACTATAGATCCTTTCAGCCCCAATATATTGCATTCCTTTTCCTTAATTTTTTACTTCTATTTGTTTATTCTTGGTTTCACTGTTAAATTGTTCATTCCTCCTTTCATTTGCTCAAAATTATTTTTCTCTTTTCTTTCTTATCTCCTTTCCTTTCTTCATATCCTCCCACTCGTTCTTTCGTCTTTCTTTTCATGCTTTCTTCTTTACATTCAATCATTCTTTATTTTCTCTTCTTTATATTGATCCTTTCTTTCTCTCTCTCTTTCTTCCTCCCCTTTTTTCTTTTTCTCTCTTTCTTTCTTTCTACCTTTCATTCTACCTCTTCTTCTACCTTTCTCTCTTTCTAATCTTCATCTATTTATTTCTTTTTTTCTTTTTTGCTGTCCTTCTTTCTACCTTTCTTTCTTTTCTTTCTTTCTAATCTTTCTATCTCTCTCTTTCTTTCTTTTGTATTCCATGCTCTCTTTCTTTCTTTCTACCTTTCTTTTTCTCTTTGTATCTTTCATTCTATCTCTTTTTCCTTTGCTTTGCTTTCCTTTCCTTTCCCTCTTTCTTTCTATCTCTTTTTCCTTTGCTTTGCTTTCCTTTCCCTCTTTCATTCTATCTCTTTTTCCTTTGCTTTGCTTTCCTTTCCCTCTTTCATTCTATCTCTTTTTCCTTTGCTTTGCTTTCCTTTCCCTCTTTCTTTCTTTCTATCTCTTTTTCCTTTGCTTTGCTTTCCTTTCCCTCTTTCTTTCTATCTCTTTTTTCTACCTTTCTTTCTTCTTTTTCTTCCTTTCCTCCCTTCCCCACTTCCTTCCTCCCTCGCTTTAGTCTTTGATCTCCTTACCTCCTGTGCCATAATTATTTTATTATTTGATTTGATTTACTACTTCATTCTACTTTCCTTCCTCACTTTCTTTCATCCTTCTCCAGTTCCCTCTCCTCCTTCCATCCCCCTCCTTTCCTTATCATTCCATCTAGTACACAAACATGTAAAACACTAACCAGAAAATGCTCCAATATGTTGGGTTATCCCCCCAGCTTCAGCAGCTGCAACAGATGTCTTTCGTAAGGTGTCCAATAAAGTTGTTTTACCATGGTCAACATGGCCCATTATGGTGACCACAGGAGCACGAGATTTTAGAATACCCAGATCTTTACATGGTGGCCTTAAAAATAAACAAATCATTTCTTTTACTTTAAAATATCAGGCAAAGTACATTGACCCATTAAGATGCATTGCACCCTACTTTATTACAATTTTGACACTCTAACGTCAGACAATGTTACTAATCAAGGGAAGAGCACTGGAGCTAAATGGTTAATCTGACTATCTGCCCATGTGTCTAGTTAACCCATGAGGTTGCATTGCACCCTATGTAAAATAATTTACTCTGTCTGATGCCAGATGATTTTACTCATCAAGGGGAAAGCGCTGGTGCTCAATGGGTTAAACAATCCGCTTGCGTTAAAGGTAAGATTACTTTGGTGATATATCAAAAGTCTGCTCGAGGAATTTTGCAGTGAATCCATATTCCAAAAGAAGAAGCTCCACAATTTCAGGCTTGATAACTGAAATATGGTACAAATAAACAGTATTACCTTCACTTAAATCCCCTAAATAAGTCAAATTTATCACAAGCTGTTTACAAGTGCCACATACCTGTCTTTGGTCCCCTGTGGACCTTCTCACCCACATCTCTTGCAAGTCTTATTATCTCATCTGAAAATTTCAGAAGAGATTAAAAAATCATTTGAACAACTCACATAGCTACAAATATTTTGGGGTGTTGGTTAGCACAGGGGTTAGCTAGTGCATGCATGTATCTTGTAGTTCAAGGACAGGACTCTGTAGCTCAGTTTGTAAGCTAAAAATTGCTAGTACGTCAAAAAGGCAGGACCACAAGTTCAATTTTAGACTTTCTCAAAGCCCAATTCCATTACAAGAAAACACAAAGGAGAGAGTTGGAACAACCAAACAAGTCTAGTTCGTTTCCTGCCAGAGGACCTATGGTTGCATTTTTCACAACTGCTCCTAATTAGGTCTAATAAATGTAGAAAATTTCCACTCAAAATTTCCACCTACAAAATCCTGCAAATGCAGTTGTCTGATTATATCACATCAATCTCATTCAACAAGGTTTGTTCCAGTTTGACTCTACCAAACACCACGGGCAAGGGTGAAAAACAAAGGCGAGCACCGCTCACAGGAAATGTTAAACAGCTGCAGGAAATTTGTTTGAATGAAGATTTGCTATTGAAAATTTGAAGGAAACCTTAACACCCATGTCCCACTATGGGCACAACAACATATGGTTGACAGACATTATTCCTTGTATAAGCTGTTTTTAAAACCATGGTCAGCTAGAACATTATATATTTATGCAAATGCAGATTTAGCACAAAACTACTCTGCATGAAATTTTTGTCTCCAAGTTATGCTCCCAGGAAGAAAATTCTTTTTTCCTGTCCTGACCACAGGTTTGGTCTGTAGTGACAATGAACCACTGAGGAATGGTCCATGCTGGGCATCTCCGAGGAGAACAGTTTAAAGCTGATAGAGCCATGCAACATAAATAAAGTTATGTCTTGGTTTTAATAGTGAAACAGCGACATGCAACTGCTGACAATGTTTACTAAATAAATACTTACCATTAGGCACACCAGCATGCTTTGCCAACTCTGCAACAGTAACTGAGGAATCGATTAATATTTCTGACTTTTTGCGCTAAAAAACGTTCAGAAGACAGCATTAAATTAGACTGTTGTGGGAATTTAATAGTTTGTCCATGTACATAATTACCCTCATTACTGCATTCTGGGTCATTTCGCAAAGAGCAGCTGCAAGAGAGTAATATGTTGAGTACTCACATGTGAATTGTGTTTCGTGGATAATGTTCTGTTTGCAAAAAGAAGCCATCTTTTACCAACTTTATTTGAAGAGTATTGCCTTATATTTGTAAATAGCTTCTGATGAATGCGGAATAAGTTGCGCATTTCTTAACAATTATGGAAAGAAATGGCCCTACATAAAATTCATTCTTTAATCACATGATAAAAATGCCGTGAAAAAACATATAAACGAACAAACTTTTAAACTTCACTCCTTACAAGTAGCCATGTTGTTTTTTTGGAAACCAGTCTTGTTCATTTCTAAAATTCCATCGCCTGAAATGACAAACCAGGGGGGGAGCTCTTCAAGATATTAAAAACAACTTATTTTCGTATATCGTTTATTCGTTTTTCACAACTACTCAACTAGTTACTATTTTCGAACTCGAGAATTGAACCTAACAAACTAGGAATAACACGTCTGCGATAATACCTGACCTCAAAATCAGAGTTCTGAGCAAAATTCAGCAAAAAATAAGCTAGTTCAAAGTTAGGTTTAGTTTAGTTTCATTCTAAATTTCTAATCCATTTTTAACCATATTAATTGCAGAATTAAAGTAAACCTTTTATCACAAAGCAAAGCAAAAAGAGCTAAAAATGAAAAAAAAACGAACAAAATTCTGGTTTCTACTTTTGGGTGATGTATTTTACCAAACAGCGACACGTGAATGACTGAATGGCAAAATAATAAAATATTTCTGACCACTGAACCGTTCTTTGTCCTTTCTCGCGAGCTTTCTCGAATCTCTTGGAGCTTTGCTTGAATTTAAAATTTAATCCAACACTATCTAAAAATGCCTGGAGGTCGAGAGGAACTAATGGCCTTCCTAGATAAGGAAGGAATATCCACAGAAACTGTTGAACATCCTGAAGTATTTACAGTCGAAGCTATGATGGAACATTTAAAGGATATCAGCGGTGCAGTTGGCAAAAATCTGTTTCTCAAGGATAAAAAGAAGAAATTGTGGCTTTTGACTACTTTGCATGACCGTGAAATCGACCTGAAAGATATAGCAAAAAAAGTTGGAGCTCCAGGGGGGTTGAGGTTTGCAGATGAAGCCATTTTACAAGAGAAATTAGGTGTAAGCCAAGGTTGTGTCACCCCCCTGGCACTGTTCAATGATCAAGCAGGGGACATCAAGGTGATCTTGGATTCGGGATTTTTTAATGATGGCCATGAACGATGTTATTTTCATCCAATGGTTAATTCAGCATCAACTGGATTAACGCCAGACGATCTAACGAAATTTGTTAAAGCAACAGGACATGAAGCGATTTTAATAGATTTTTAGGAAATAAACGAATAGGATCTTTTGGTGTAAAGTATTGCACCTATGTATGGACACATTTATTACATATTTGATATTGATATTTTATATAAGCTACCATCTTGCTATCATTTGGAACTACATGAACAGTTGCTGATAAAATATTGTCTATGCTTAAGGGAAACTTTTATGTTCATCAAGAGCATTTGACAAGTTTCATTCTGATCAACCAATCAATTTAAACTAGCCTCAAGCCTGGGCCGTACGCAGAATTTTTCCACTAGGGGGGCAGTAAGGCCTACATGCCGAAAGAGGTCCCAAATATCCAAAGAATAATAAATAATGACATTCTAAAAATCGTAAATATAGTTTTCTCTAGGGGGGCACTTGCCCCTGAAACATATTACCCCCCCCCCCCCAGTGTATGGTCCTGCCTCCAGCTGATTGCCTGTGTTAGTTAAAACCTTCAAATGCTTGTTACAAATCATTAAAGTCTCACATGACAGTGGATGTTTTATCTGTGACTGTTCATCCTTAGTTAGGGCTGCACCAGAACCGACGTACAACGAACCGAATCTGGAAAAAAGTCTAGCTGGAACTGACTCTATTTAACTGTTCATGGTTATATTCCACTTTTTGTCAACCCTAAAACATTGGAATATATGTCTATGGTAGTATGTCAATGTAATTAAAATTATGTCAGTACTATGATCTGTCTAAGTATTTGGAGTTTGATGTTTATCATCGAATGAACTTAATAATTTTTTGAGACTGAGCTCCGGTCCAGGCATGCTTTTTTCATCAGTTCCAGCTGGTGCACCTCTACCTTAGATGAAAATAATGCTATTGCACAGAGACAGGTATAGTTGTTTTTAATGCTGACATTATGTGTGAGATTGTCTTACAGTTAGTTAAAACCATAGGGGTTTTTACCAAGGGGTGTCATTCTGCACATATTTTCACCAAGCATGGGTAAATGCTCCCCCCCCCCCCCCCCCCC